AATTTTTTGAATGTATTGAGGGCCGCTGATTTTTCTTTTAGAAAATATACCCAGATCATTCTTGTATAATCATCGATAAATGTGATAAAATATCAATTTTCTCCTTGTGACATTGTTGGCACTTTACCAACTATATCAGTGTGTACTAGTTCCAATGGTGCATTTGCTCTCCAAGCTCCACTATGTGGAAAGGCAGTTCTAATTTGTTTTCCAATTACACAACCTTCACATGGGTCAAACTTCAGTGTAATAAATAGAAGGTCTTGTACCATACCTTTAGTCTTGAGTAGCTTTAGTGCTCTGTAACTAAGATGACCCATCCTCTTGTGCCATAGATTAGAAATATCAACTTCACTTCTGAGAGCCATTTGAGTAGGATGATTCATCTTCAACAAAAAATTTATGTTTGTCCCCATATTTATTTTGCAACCAGACGGTTATTTTTACGATCCAATATTTTGCAAGAAAATTCCTCAAAATAAACCGCATACCTGTGTTCTAGAAGCTGCCAAATACTTAGCAAATTTTGCTTAAAATCGGGTACCGGCAAGACATCCTTTATAAATTTTGGACGGACTGCTGTTTGGACAGCAACCGTACCTTTCTTTTCACTTTGGGATATAGATTCAATACCCATGTGAATCTTTGCATGATATGATGAATCTATTTCTTGAAATAAATTTGGATCAGCAGCCATGTGGTTTGTACAACCACTGTCAATAACCCAAACATTATCCTTTTCTTCTTAAGCAGTACGACAAGAGAAAATCATTTCTTCATATTTTTCCTTTTCTTGGGAAAAATTAGCCCGATTAATTTCTCGAGTTCTGCAATATTTTGCAATATGACCCTTTCCTTTGCACTTGTTGCAGGTCATTTTCTTCCAGGACATATCTGTAATATGACTAGATTTTGGGAAATGTCACACCACAAATTTGAACTGGATGTAACTTTTTCTATTCTTTCTTGATTGTCTTCCTTCTGCATCATGTTCTACTTGGAAAATCCTTTTTTTTTCTGAAAACAACCACGGTCTTGCATTGGAAATCCATTTTTCTGAAAATTCCCGCAAAACCTTAAGTTTTGAGGCCTGAAGCTCAACTTTGATTGAAATGCATTTTCAACGAAGTTCCCTTCTCGTTGAAGCTTTCTTTCTTCATGAGATTCCAACGAGCTCATTAGTTGCTAAGTTGTGAGAGTCGACAAGTCTTTCGACTCCTCAATAGCAGCAACAATGTACTCGTATTTTTTAGGCTGACTGATTAAAATTTTTATCCATGACCTTTTGATCCTTAATATCCTCACCATAGAGGCGCATCTGATTAACGATCTTAATAAGTCTTGAGAAATAGTCTTTTACCTTTTCTGACGCCTTCATTTGTAAATTCTGAAATTGCATTCTCAAAGTTTGAAGCTTCACTGCAAGTAACTTCTGAGATCCTTAAAACTCCTCTTTCAACTTATCCTATGCTTCCTTGGATTTTTTGGTGCCAATAATACGTGGAAATAGACTTTCCACAACTCCTTATTGGATCAAGAACAAGGCTTTGGCGTCCGTCATTCGATTCTCCGTCAGAGACTTATTATGTTCCGCTATAAGAGTGATGAGGGTGTTAGGTCCCGATCTTTCAATAGGTATTGATAAACAGTCGATTTGGGCAGAGTCGTGACACAACTCGATCCGGCTTCTGAACGAACACGCTACTGAGCCCCGCAATCGCAGCACCACGTCTCCTCTGGTTACCAACTGTGCCGAAACCCAGTTGACCTCGCCGAGAAAGCTAATCCCTACATGCAAAATCGAAGAACACAAGTAAGAACAAGATAGATTGCAACACAATTGCATATGAATGATTAAGCACTCAAATTTGGTGTTCTACAAACCGATCTAGCGGCGAAACTATTCTTGGCAAAATAATCTAAGCAAAACCCGACTCTAAACGATGACGGCTACTGATTAAGTATGATTAGGGACGTCCTAGGGTTGCCCTAGGGCGCACACCCTCATGGGCTAAGCCCACGACACAATTACAAGGCCCAAAAACCCAAATCAGATTTGGACTGGATGAGATATGTGGTTTGTTTTGCAGATTCCCGACAGCTCAGTATTAATTTTGACGTGGGACCAAAACCATCTGAAAGTAGATTCCATAAGCTTTCTAACAAGTACTCATGGGCCCTGAAATTCCTTCTAGATCAGTGGCTAGGTCCATTTGAAGTTGATGCTATCAGGAGGCCCGAATCTGAATACAAAACATGTAGAACTTTATCTCTTGTCTTCTATAGACCAAAAGTGACGTGGTGATATAAAAGAAGACTTGGAGAAGGTCTTGGTTTGGTCCCCCAATCAACTTCTTCAATCATCCATGCATTCCTTACGCTCGGTCTCTTTTCTTTCGCCCAAGCAAATACCTCTGCAAACGAAAACACACAAAACTCATTGTGTAGCAACGTTTGTTCAAATATATAACAAGTAAATCTAATATAAAACATATACACCTTTGGTTGATTAATACATAAGGTAATCATGGTTATATCCGAGTTAGTTGTGTCCTCATCATCAAAGAGTACTTTCCAATATCCCATAATCCTTGATAGTAGCAGTGTCCACATCTTGATGCACCATATATCATAACTTTCTCTTGTAAATACAGGAACCATAGACCGCGTCATTGTGGCGCTCGAACTTGAAGCCATACCTATAGCTTCAATATACAATGCCGATACGTCGAGCTACTTCGTCACGCCCTACTCGAACTTGGGCGCTCTAATTTGTTGTTGGTGTATATTTGTAAGCAAGGGAACAGAGGGGAGTGCTGGATGAAGTGGAGCTAGCCAAGGGAACAGAGGGGAGTACTCGATGCAGTGGAGCTTGCCTTGAATATGTGGGCTGCTTGTTGTAACTTGTTTGCTTGTATTAGGGCGTTCACAGCGCGCCACAAATTTTTGCTATTCCTCATGTGCCACGTAGACGAAGAACCTGATAAGCTTCATACAACAGTGCAAGTATTGTGGGAGGGCTGGCGGCCGCCGCGTGAAGCCACGCAACGCTAAGGCCACGAGCTCCACAATGCAGCGCCCAGCCATTCTCCATGCGCCGTGCTCCCTCACCTGCCGTGGAGAACGCGTGCCCTCTTTTGGCTCCGCGAACTCGCGCAGGCAACGCACTTTGGCGACGTGACGTCGAATCTTTCCTGGATGAAACATCAGCAATCTACACATACACTAGTTGCCTATATTTATAGGCTGAACAACCAACCAAACTTGAAGCTTCATGAATATAGCCCCTTTTCAGATCCCACCTCAAAATTTTTCACCCTGTCACATCGAACGTTTGAACACCTGCATAAAATATTAAATATAGACAAAAAATAACTAATTACACAGACTGCGACTAATTTGCGAGACAAATCTTTTAAGCCTAATTGCTCCATGATTTGACAATGTGGTGGTACAGTAAATATTTGCTAATAACGGTATAATTAGGCTTAATAAATTCGTCTCGCGGTTTACTGACGGACTCTGTAATTAGTTCTTTTATTAGTGCCCGAACACTCCATGCGACACCCAATAGAATATCCGATGTGACACGCCAAAACTTTACACCCTGAATCTAAACACCCCATTAGTAGAAAGTAGTACTACCGCTGGCTGCCTATTGCTACTACTACACATCGGCCGTGTTTAGTTGGTGTGCCAAAATATTTTTTTTTATATACGGATACACATTTGAAGTACTAAACATAGACTAGTAACAAAACAAATTACAGATTCCGCTTGTAAACTACGAGATGAATTTATTAAGCCTGATTAATCTATCATTAGCAAATATTTACTGTAGCATCACATTGTCAAATCATGGCGTAATTAGGCTCAAAAGATCCGTCTCGCAATTTACATGCAAACTGTGCAATTGTTTATTTTTCCGACATTTAATACTCTATATATGTGTCCAAACATTTGATGTGACGGAATTTTTGGAAGTTTAAAGGGAATAAACACTGCCATTGATGCATAGAAGTACACTAGTCTAGAAACTTTTACAGAGTAGTAGTAGTACTGGTCTTTTGACCATTGGTTCTAGAGAAGTTGACAAGAATAAGATGTCTATAGAGAATTCAGGAAATGGATTAACTACAACAGCAGGAACATATCGCTGCTGATGGATTACCATAAGATTTAACTTTGAGACACCTGAAACATTATTCCATTATTTTTAGACAACAAAAATAAGAAACAAATTGTAAAAATATATAATTACCCTCTGTCATATCTAACCCTCACTTGGCCTTCCCATGAAACTCACATCTCACACTCCTTTTGTCGTCGTCAGTCAAACTTGGGCGCGCGGCAACCGTTGTTCTGCTGCATGCACCCCGCGCCAAAAGTGTTGGAATTAATTCCAGTCGCCTGATGCACCAAAAATAGCAGCTCTCCCCAGCAAATCAACGACCATTACGTACGCGGGAAGCGGGACACGTTTGAACCGAGCTATCACACGAGTTATACGTGCGACAACCGGGCTATCACACGAGTTATACGTGCGCACCAGCGCATGGCACTTGGCACCACAAGCCGCGTATCACTGCCGTATCGTGTACTCGGATCGACCATGCAAGCTGCACTGCATGACGATGAGCTCCGCGCGCGCGCGGCCGCAAAATTCACCCAAGCTGCAGCAGCAAAAGACCAGTTGGCTTCTCCTGAAACAATGCATGGCCATCGTCACCAGTGACGCTACAACCAAATCATTCTCGAGCTCTCGACCAATAGTACCAACTTGGCAACCACTAGCTCAAACACACTAATGGTACACTAATGTTCTTCTAGAACCGGCGGCCCCACCCGCATTGCAATCTGCGAGCATGGCCACGCAGCATTTATAACCGTGAAAATTTGGTAAGACTGAAAGTCTTACGCCCCCTGCGAAAGACTTCATCTTCTGTGCGACACGTGTCCCGTGGTAATTTCAAAGCAGATAACTCCCTCAAACCCTCCTAACGATACAACCTAACGTCCTGACGTCGTTAGCAGAGAAGACGAACCGGCGCGGCACGGCGCGGCTGCAGGGAGATGGAGTGTTGGCGACCCGGGCGCGCCGGTGATTCCTGATGAAGTGGTGGCGGCGGCGAAAGCCCCGGCTGCGGCAGCAGCGGCCTTGCGGTAGCTAGGGCAGGAACGTGAGGCTGAAACTCCCACGCCAGCGATGCGTGAGGGACGGCGAGTTTGTGGCGTTGCCGCGGCTGCGCCGGCGGCATGAGATGATACGGCCATGACTCCTGATAGTGGCATCTTCAGCATCATACATATAGTGAGCTCGTATGGTGATTAGATAAATTAATTACAGAGCTCTGCTATTGAAGCTCCGGTAACAAACTTGACTATTGGCGATTATATAAATTGGGAATTAAGATAACAAGCTCCAACAGTGAAGCAGCACAGAATTTCATCAGATTAGAAGATGTCTTAATATCCATATGCAAAAACCCAAAATAACAAGACAACAGAACTTGAAAAGTTGATTTTGATACTCGTGTCTCTGACAAAGTGGAAAGATTTTGATGCTCGTGTCTCTGACAAAGTCAAAATGATTCTAACATCAGTCATAAGATGTCGATGAATTGGGGTCTTGATTTTCAAACTCTAAACGCCAAGAAGCTGATGCTGCTGCAGTAGTTTCATGATGAGCTTGAAATAATAGATTTGTGAATTCTCCTCGAATTGGCGGAACGAACATCCTCGAAATGTCACCAAATGGCATCACAATATTTGAGTCAAGTGGTTCCTGAACCTATTCATATTGTAGGAAAACAAGAAAATTTTTAAAGTACGCTCGCATTATGATGGAGATTTAATTCTTATTGATCTTACAGTTGGCTGCGAAGCTCCAGCTATATTTATGTTTGATGGCTGTGTGGTTTCTTCTCCTGCAATGTTCATAAGGCAAAAATTGGTACTTAATGAAGTCGATGAAAATGAAAAAAAATAAAAGACAAGCAAGTTAAAATAGAATACCTTTGTTTGTTGTTTTCTTTCCTCTGTCAAGCAAACTTCTAGATCTTTTTTGCAATGGACCTTTTTTGTGAGGAGGAGCTCTAATTGATATGCGCTCTTTTGCAACTTCTTCTGTGCACTCAAGAAAACATTGTGGAGCTTCATTTTCATCTAGATTGACCTTGCTTAGTAAATTTTCTACTTCTATGGTCAGTTTATCAAAACCATGATCCAAGTGTTGGAGGACTTCATTGGAAACTCCACATTTTAGTGTAACAGATATCATTTTTCGGCAAAGATATGTACTTTGTGATGCTAAGCTGTCGCTTTGGCCTTTTCTCTTGCATGTAAAGATTCCTCTTTTTGCATATTTTGTCCATCTACTCAATATATACTGAGGAGGTAAAACAATAATACTGTTGTGGTTGAAGATCCGTAGTACATGCTTGCATAAAATACCTACATGATTCAGAATATGTTAGAGGTGAAATATTAATCCCAACTAGAATGGGGAATATGTCAGGAAAATACACTTACCAAGACAGGTATACTTCCTGCAAGAACATGATATATTCATATCAACTGAATTAAAGGTGACTCTTGTTTCGTCCTTACTGTGATCCACAGTTACTACCTTCTGTATTGTGGCCCACTTCTCACGCAAATCATACAAGTTCTGTATCCAAGAATTGTCTTCAAGGTGGTAATCAGATATCAACTTTTGCCAATTGAAGTTAAAGTGTGCCACTGACCTTTCTTCATACACACATCTTTTAAAGTCATGAAGAAAATTAGGATTATTGGAGATTACATGGCTTAGATGCTTTGCAGCATTTTGGTATATATGCCATAGGCAAAGACAGTGACTTGAGTTTAGGAATACAATCATAATCGCCTTTGCCATTGCAGCACACTGATCTGTGAAAATTGTTTCAGGTTGCTTCCCCGACATTGCCTTCAAAAAGTTTCTAAATAGCCAAACAAATGAATCAGCACTTTCATCGAATAATAATGCAGCTCCAAAAATAATAGTTTGCCTATGATGATTTGCTCCAATAATAGGAGTAAATGGCATTTCAGACTTGTTTGTTTGAAATGTTGTGTCAATGGAGAGAACATCCCCAAAACAAGCATAATCTGCAATGGCCTGACCATCTGTCCAGAAGAAATTACAAATTCGACCATCCTCTTTGTCCAACTGCACAGAATAAAAGAAAGAAGGGTCTTCTGCTTGTTTGTTATCCAAGTACTCCAATAATGTTTGTGCATCTTGTGTTTCTAAATACTTTTTGCGCTCTCGACCAATAAAGTTATTGCAATCCATTTGTAAGAATGGCACATTTTCATCTCCACCTAACCACCGTTGAAAAAAATCAAATATCTCAGCTAGCTTAACTCCTGCTTGTTGCATCATGCTAATTATATGCTCATCGGCATTTGACATACGCCGTTGTGATCTAAGCATGTGTGACTTGTCAGGACTTACAAAAGGGTAATTGTGTGCCAATTCGATTTTCTGCAGCTTCCAAATACCTTCCTAGGAAATAAAGAACTGAACACGAGCCTTGCAATCTGTTTTTGTACAAGCACGTTATTTCTTTGGCTGGTGTGTTGGATTACTGTTCTTGTGACCTTCATTACTGCAAACCATGTACTTGGATGATAAAGTGCCATCTGCTCTGTAGTTAACGTGGCACTTTCGTACACTAAATCCCACTCTTCTAGCATATGAATTGTAGAAATTGTATGCATCATCCTCAGATTGAAAGGTCATGCCAACCTTCGGCACTTGCTCGCAAGGAGCATTCTGATTGGTAGCCTATAGGTACAATAGAAGCATATATTAAATTGGATTTTTTCTTGGATATTAGTTTATAGATGACTTCTACACGGATATACGCTAACAACCTGCAGTCACTTTATTACAAAAAGAATGCCTTACCTTTATATTTGATTGAGTAACTTGTTCAGATTTCTCACGATCTGATCTGAACACTACATTATGACCCTCAAGATTGCAATTTGAGCTTTCACCCATAGCATGATGACCAACAGAGTTGAACGTAAAACCGGTTCCTACCAACAGCAAATGGAATCAAATCGAATGAAAAATCGAGTTTAAGTCATCAATCTATCGGCCATATGGAAGAATCAACAACAGATGGATAGTAAAACAAGCATCTTCTCACTTTGGCTGGCTTCGCTGAGTGTGGGGTTTGATTCACCCACTTGCTGCACCTCACCCATGAGCACCGGTTCATCTCCCACGCCGCGTTCGTCCATCTCCCCGCAGCCGCACCGCGTCCGTTCGTCTTCTCCGCTAACGACGTCAGGACGTTAGGTTGTATCGTTAGGAGGGTTTGAGGGAGTTATCTGCTTTGAGATTACCACGGGACACGTATTGCACAGGAGATGAAGTCTTTCGCAGGGGAGTCTTACCAAATTTTCTGTTTCACGGTATAAATGCTGCATGGCCATGCTCGCAAATTGCAATGCGGGTGGGGCCGCCGGTTCTAGAAGAACATTAGTGTGCCATTAGTGTGTTTGAGCTAGTGGTTGCCAAGTTGGTATTTTGATTCTTCGAGGAGATGTCTCCTCGTTATTTACAATGTCACTCGTATATACGACTCCTATATCCTGGTAGAAGTAGGACTCCATTCCCCAGCCACCCGCGCGGATCGGTCGCTAAGCCGCCGAGAGACATGGCGCCCGCGACACAAATGGCAGCTCCACCACCACGCGCTCGCGGCGGCAGCTTCCGCGTCCTGCGCACCGCCCGCGTCGCGCCGTCGTCGCCCGACGGTGTCCCCATGTTGGTCGAGCGCGCCGTCCCGCTTACCTTCCTGGACGCGATCTGGCTCCCGACCCCGCCCGTCGACCGGGTCTTCTTCTATCGCCTCGGCGCCGACGACGACGGCGTCGACGCCGTCCTGTCCCGGCTGGCTGACTCGCTGTCCCGGGCGCTCCACGTCGTCTACCCGCTCGCCGGCCGCCTCCGCCTCACGCCGGGCAAGACCAACCGGTACGAGCTCTTCTACCAGCCAGGCGACGCCGTCGCCTTCACCTTCGCCGAGCACGACGACGGCGTCGGTGTCGACGAGCTGGCCGCGGACGACCCGAGGGAGGTCGCCAAGATCGCCCCGCTCGTGCCGGAGCTCCCGGATGGCGGCGCGGTGCTGGCCGTGCAGGCTACCGTGCTGCCCCCCGCGCGCCGCGGCCTCGCCCTCGGCGTCACCGTGCACCACGCCGCCTGCGACGGCTCGAGCTCCACGCACTTCCTCCACACCTGGGCCGCCGCCTGCGCCGGCGCCGCGGTGCTGCCGAAGCCGCCCGTCATCGACCGCACGTTCATCCGCGAACGTGAAGACCTCTATGACTACATGGTCAGTCGAACGGAGGAGTCTGACAAGTTCAGGTCGCCCGACGTCGCCGACAGCAAGCTCCTCGCCACTTTCACGCTGTCAGGAGAGATCCTTCAGAGCATCAAGGACAGAGTCGCCGGCGTGGCGGCGCGGCGCGGCAAGTCGCCGCCTCCTCGGTGCACGTCCGTCGTTGCGACGTTCGCCATCGTATGGCAATGCCACATCCGAGCCGCACTAGGCGACGTCGAAGCAGATAATAAGCACCATGGCCGTGCCCACTTCATCTTCCCCACCGATCACCGGGCGCGGATGGAACCCCGCGTCCCCGACAAGTACCTCGGCAACTGCGTCGGGCCATGCTTCGCCTCGGCGCCCAAGGAGGAGATCGCCGCCGCCGACGCGGAGGACGGCCTCTACACGACCTGCGCCGCGATCGCCGCCGCCGTGGACGAAGGAACGAGATACGATCCGGACTACTGGAAGAGGTGCATGGAACACGTTGGAGGGATGAGCGCGAGCGACGGTCCGCCGTTAGCGGTGGCCGGGTCGCCGAGGTTCCGCGTGTACGACGTGGACTTCGGGTTCGGGAGGCCGGCGAAGGTGGACGTCGTGTCCGTGGCGAAGACCGGGGCGATCTCGGTGGCGGAGGGCCGCCGCGGCGGCATTGAGGTGGGCGTCGGTTTGCCGCCGGAGCGGATGGAGAGGTTCCGGAGGTGCTTCGCTGATGCCGTCGCGTGGCTATCGTCGCCGTCTCGTCCAGTGACACGTGACATGGATCGATCAGCTCCGGGCCACTCCCCGGCGTAGGCGGCGGCGGCAGGCAGGCAGGCAGGCAGGCACGTGTCGCTTGGCTTCCACTCGCTGGGCTTCCGTGGGATTCGATGGGCTGGTTCCCCGTACCCTTATTTTTTTTCTTGGAAAATACCGTAGCATTGTACCGACAGGGTGTGTTCGCTAAGTTGCCAGCGTGGAACAGTCTGCATGGTATGCATGGTAAACAGAGGTATTAGCGTGTGATTAATTAAGTATTATTTTTTTAAAAAATAGATTAATTTGATTTTTTTAAACAACTTTCGTATAAAAACTTTTTTAAAAAACACACCGTTTAGCAGTTTGAAAAACGTGCGCACGGAAAACGAGAAAGAGGGGTTGGGAAAGGAGGTGCCGAACACACCCTTATCCGTACCGCAATATCTATCCCTATTTAAAGGACGTGACGATCGGGCATCCGATGGGAGAAGGTTAAAATCGGGCGCTGATGTCAGCATGACGTCAGCACCCGATTTACGTGTAAAACTGCTCTAAACTGAATTTTCTCCTAAATTATTTATCCAAATCATGATCTGATTGCACCATTAATTTCATTGCAATTAAATGTTCGAAACAAGACCACACATGGATATATTCCGACGAAAAAAAATCTTATTATTGAATTATTTTTAAATGTTGTACGATGTTCCACCAGATATATCGGAAATGTTTCATTAAGTAGATCAAAAATGTTTCCCTCGTTTAAATCGGATGTTATTTCACATTATATAAAAACAATATTTCAGCAAATAGTGAAAGAATGTTTCAGTTCACTGCAATATTAGATCTATATATAGTGAAACATTATGAGTACACTAGGTGAAACATTTTTTCGGTAGAAAAAAATAAACCAAATTCCCTTAATAGGAGTTTCTAAAATATGTGGGTTTTTTTTAATGGAATGTTTCGTTCACTGCAACATTAGATATATACATAGTGAAACATTGTGAGCACACTAGGTGAAACATTTTTTATGAAAAAAAATAAAACGAATTCCTTTAATAGGGAGTTTCTAAAATATGTGGGTTTTTTTCAATGGTAGGTGGGAGCAGACAACGCGGTGGGACCAGGGCCTGCATGCACGCACGTGGGGGGAGGGGTGCGCGGGGGAGCGCCCGATCCAGCTCCCCCGCGCCGGTCGCCCGATATAATCATTCTCGCTATTTTAAACATACTCCCTCCGTTTCGAAATGTTTGACACCGTTGACATTTTAGGACATGTTTGACCGTTCGTCTTATTCAAAAACTTTTGCAAAATATGTAAAATTATATGTCTCCATAAAAATATATTTAACAATGAATCAAATGATAAAAAAAGAATTAATAATTACTTAAATTTTATGTGCTAAAAAGTCAATCGCGTCGTATATTTCGAAACGGAGGGAGTAGGATTTTTCCCATCGTCACGACACAACCCGATTTCATTCGTTGTCCATCGTGGGTCCGTCTGCTTTTCTGATTTTTCCATTTGTCGTTTGATTACTCCGCGTCAAGCCCGCATCTTCCGTATGTTCCACGTAGCACGCGTACATCATGCAAGGCCCGCAAACCGCATGCCATCAAACACTCAAATCAAATATGAAACGGAGAGAGCTACGGATTGGTCGCCCGATCGGGGCTGGGAAAATCGGGCGCTCACGTGAGCATGATGTCAGCGTTCGATTTACGTGCAAAACTATTTTAAACTGATTTTTCTCTTAAATTACTTATCTAAATTATGATCCGATTGCATCATTAAATTCGTTGCAATTAAATCTTTAGAACAAGACCACACATTGATATATTCCGACAAAAAAAATTTAGCTTATTATTGAATTATTTTTAAATATTATATGATGTTCCAACAGGTATATCGGAATTGTTTCACTAAGTAGAGCGAAAATGTTTCACTCGTTTAAATCGGGTGTTGTTTCACCTTATATAAAAACAATGTTTCAGCAAATAGCAAAATAATGTTTCAGTTCACTGCAACATTAGATCTATACATAGCGAAACATTCTAAGTACACTAGGTGAAACATTTTTCGGTGGAACAAAAAATAAACTAAATTCTCTTAATAGGGGTTTCCAAAATATATGGTTTTTTTGTTGTTGCAATGGAGTATTTCAATTAAATAAGCGACCAAGATTTTTCCCACAAAATCAAAAGGACAAACCCCAAAATTTTTCCGAAACAAATCCAAGTGCAAAGAGCATATGCAGATGAAAAGGTTTCAAAGGGCTCTTAGGGTTTCCAGTTGGCTTGTACTACGGTCAAGGTCGGCTCTGATACCAACTTGTCACGCCCAGAAATTCACGAACCAGAATTTCTAAGCTGAATGTGCATTAAACCCCTGTCCAGGACCAGCCAGGGTACACAAACGACAATTGTTGATATACAGATCCACGTCTTACAAAAATATAAAACATTACAAATGCAGCGGAAAAGATAAAAGTGAGCTAAACCTGAAGACTTGACTCCTGCAGCGAGGCGACTCCATTCCACAGGCATCCTTGACGGCAGCGACGAAGCCAACTTCTTCGAGACATCTTCAACTGAAAAGGACTTCAACTCTAGTGTGGGGGAAAAGAGAGCAAGACTGAGTACTATCCACTGTACTCAGCAAGTCATACCGGAAGAGAAGGTATGATGCAGGGTATAACCAAAGGAGGCTAGAGGTTCATTTGCATAAAGCTAGCATTTAAAAGCAGCAGTTGAAAGCAATAAAACAGTTGTAGTAATTAATCAATATTAACCAATCACTGTCCAACGCTACACCACGTTGCAACAGGCCCAACCAACCACCTGAACTACACCAATTCATTAGCTAACTAGGGTGAGACTAATCACGGTGAATCTGGTCGACCGCCCATAACCGCGGGCACGGCTATTCGAATAGTTTTACTCTGATCAGAGGTGTACAACTGTATCCACAACACACAGCCCCACGACACGTTTCCGTGCGCCGATATGCCACCACGACATACCGGAAAGAGGCCGTGATAGGACCCTTCACATAACCCCCTCTAACCGATCGCACCACACCTTAGGATTCGCCCTCGTCCCCAACAGGCAACGGGCAGCCCCCCTTTCGTGCCGCGATGAATCCGGAAGCCGATCAACCGGACACCCCGGCCGACCCAACTCCATCATGCCCACCCTCGCCTGGGTACGTCGGCTAGAGGAAAGCTACACTACAAGCCTAGCCGTTGCCCACGCTGGCTTGTGGTAAGTACAATAAGTTCTTCTAGGGCATCCCGCGAACCGGTCCTTAATCGCCATGGGTACGACTAGAAAAACCATGCACCCACAGCCCACCATGTAGTGTATTTTAATTAACTAACACCATTGCGGTGGCACTAATCCAAAGCTATGCCAATAATCAAAGTCCATGCATTAATGTGATTTCCCTTTTGTGTACTAGTAGAACTAAGCATGGCTAAGCATCTCCTAAACCAACATCTAGTCATTTTAGTACCCAAGTTATCAATGTCATAAGGTAATCAATATATGGCTGAGTAGTAGGACCTATCCCACATGATATTGTAAAACAATGCAATATTTAATAGAAATGCCGGACATTTGTAAATTGGGTACAATATGATCAATTGTAATATATGACTTGCCTTACTCTCGCACTGATGAGACCACAGCAACGTCTTTGAGAAACCGCGGATCGACGAAACGGCCGAAATCTACGCGTCAAACAAAGCACGCAAGCAAAACACACTATAAGTCTACTAAAACAGGAAACAAAACTACTTTTAATGGATTCTATACATTTTTCTTGATTTACCGAGACTTGAATGGACTTAAACGGAGCTCGGATGAATTACTTATGAATTTTAGAAGATAAACTGTGTTTATTACTATAAAAGAAAATTCTTAATGAGTTTTATTGCACAATAAAGGATCCCGGATGAAGTCAGCAGGGGGGGTCGGCGCCGACATGCGGGACCCACCCGGCAGTGGCTCAAGGGGGAGGAGGTGGCACCGGCTGGTGGGTGGGCCCCACCGGGCAGTGGCTCAAGGGGGGGGAGACACCTGGTTGGCTCGGCTCGGCTTCAAACCGGCCGGCCGGTTAGGCGATGCAGCGGCGGCGAGCGGCCACCGACGGCGGCGACTAGCGGCGCGGGAGACGGCGGTGGCTGGCGAGGAGGCGGCGGCACACGGCCGAAGCGGCGGCGCGGACAGGAGGCGGTGACGCGCCCAAAGGCGGCGACGCACACGGGGAAGAGGGAGTAAAAGAGGGGGAGGGAGTCCTCATCGGGGATTCGGCCGGCGTGGGTGAAGACGACGGCGGACGGCGGCGGCAAGCGGCGGACGGCGGGGCACGCGGAATGGACGAGACGGGCCTCGATCTCGCGAGGCCAACAGCGGCAATGGAGCAGCGCGTCATAAACTATCAGTGTGTCCGACTACCCCACATCTAGTACATGCTTTGAACTTCAACTCTCTTTCCCTGAAACTATCAAGGGTCGCATCATTGTCGTCATCATCATCATCGTCATCGTCATCAGCAGAGAACCGTTCTCCTGATTCATCATCTTCGGGTCTGGGCGGACCGTACTTTATAAGGTGCCGGGTTAGCTGACGCGCTCCACGGAAGGTATTTTTTCGTCTCTGACGCTTGGGTATCCTTGCGGCATCTTCAGGAGTAAATTCTGAACTAGTGATGATCATGGTCCAACCATTATCCATCTTCCATATTACTGTCCTGTTCGCTCCAGAGTTGGGCTGCAAAGTACCATCCTTCTTGTCGGTAGGCTGACTTGGAGCTTGGTTACTTCCTGGGCACTGCTTCTCGTCCTTTTCAAGTGACCTGGCGAACACCTTCCATGGGCAGTTCCTTACATAATGACCTTACTCGCCACAGTCATAACAGGTAGCACTTACTTCTCTTTGGTTTGACGGTGGCTTGGCTGAAGTTATCTTCGGGGATCTGGACAGCATTTTGACAGGGGTCTTCGGTGCCGATACTGGGAACTCCTGACTCTGACTCTGATTCAGGTTCTGGGCTAGCACCTGGACTTGCATTTGTGGCTGGTGGCCTTGCCGCGGCTCCTAACATTGTCGTTGCATCTGCTGCATCTGGTATATCTCGTACCGACGTCGTATCTGTTGTAACAACTCTTCCACTGTTTGAGTCTGATTAGCCATGACTTGGGGTTGAAGCTGATCTTCGTGAAGTTGACGTGGAATGCCCATAGGATTGCACTGAGTTGATCCATGAAATTGTTGAGATCTTGACCTGATGAGATTGTCCCTCATGCTGACCAATTGTTGCGGGCACAAGAGAGAGAGGGGGAGATGAGAGGGGTTACTAAAGATAAGGTACTGGACCTCTTGCCTATTGATATGTTGTTAATGGACTTTTATTGTTCAAGTTGCTTAAGCAAACAACCTAGTATGGTCGCATCCCCACCAATGATGCAAACCATACCCCTACACACAAGCAAACAATCACACGATCTAGCAGCTAACGAAACTACTCTTCCGGGAAGGATTGGGTTTTAGGTAAATTCTAGGAAAACTTCACTTGGCCTTCGTGGAACGACGACTCTGGACTGATCTTCTTGCTCCTTGCTGCACGAAGCCTGAGATGACCTGACATGACTTGACTTCCGAACAGACATGAAGCTGACGGTTTGTCCACCGGGTTTTGCAACTAAAAGAGTTGGAGAGAAAGGGAGGAGAATTTCGAAAAAACCGTTTCACAAAGAAATGCCGAAGGGCGAGAGGAGACGTTTTGCAAATAGGGTTATCAGAAAGCTTGTCCTTAGGGTTTGACCATTTGGCTCAACCTACAGTCGAGTTGGCTCTGATACCACTTTGTCATGCCCAGAAATTTAGCCCAAATTTCCAGACTATTTTGTGTATTAAATCACTGTCCAGGACCAGCCAGGGTATACAAAACGACAAGTAAATATACAGATCCAAACATAAATAAAGCGTAAAATACTTACAGAAGAGGCACTTAGTCCTCACACCAAAAGAGAACGACAGCAGCGGAAAAAGGCGATCCTAGCGGGGCTTCAGCTCCACTCCACAGGCAAAACTCAACTGGGGTCTAAGCCTTGGTCTTCTGACTCCGTCTTCAGCTCAGAAGCACTACACTTCTGAAAAGGGGGAATAATAGCAAGGCTGAGTACAACCACCGTACTCAGCAAGCCACACCAATGATGCAGACGTGCAAAGGGATTCAAGAATGGCTTGTGGCTATTTGCATAAAGGCGGTTGTAAAACATTTTATTGAGCAAACAGTAAAACAATTGAGTAATCAAGGTAATATTAAATCTCCACTGATCAACGCTACACCACGTTGAACAGGCCCAACCAACCCACCTGAACTACAGTGCATTGAGTCGATTTATTAAGTGTGAGACTAATCATGGTGAATCTGGTCGATCGCCCATAACCGCGGGCACGGCTATTCGAATAGTTTTACTTTGGCCAGAGGTGCACAACTGTACCCACAAGACACAATCCACTGGAATGTCACCATGCCTGCGCAGACACGTCACCATGTCGAGTGATTGTGACAAGACCCTCCATATAACCCCCTCTGACCAAGCACACCACACCTCAGGTTTCACCCCCGCCCCCAGCAGGCAGCGGGCAGTCCCCTCTCGTCCTAGGCGAATCAGAAAGCCGCATAGGCCGTCGCAGGGCCCATCCGAACTCCATCACGCTCACCCTTGCCTGGATGCGTCAGCCAGCGGAAAGCTATACTTCAAGTCAGGCAGTTACCCATTCCCGCTTGTGGCAAGCGCTGTATGTCTTCCAGGGTTTCCCACGAACCGGTCCTTAATTGCCATGGGTGCGACCAGCAAAACCATGCACCCACAGCCCACCATTCAGTCGTGTTTTAGTTGGATAATTACGACTATGAAACATGGCCGGATGTCTCGAGCACGCAGCTCGTCATGATACCAAAAGGTCTAATACTGCAATTATCCCATCGACTGAGCTAGTGGTAATTAAGCATGGCTAAGCATAAAGTTCTAGCTAGGTCATCATAGTAACCCAAGCTAGTCGATTTATCACCCAAATTTGACAAAGGACCGTCACGTCCCAAAACGACTCTAAAATACATCCTCTAAATTATGCCGAGAATAATTAAAATCCGTGTGAAAGCCTCCAACAATTAAAATGTGCAAAGTTAAAAGTCAAATAAGGCTTGGGGGATTTTTGTATATTTCCTAAAAGCCTAAAATACGTAAATAAATTTTAGTGGAATTTTCAGAGCACAAATAATAATTATTAAGAAATAAACAAAGTTAAAATGATTTTATAAAAAGAAAAACTCTAAAAAGTCCCCTCTCCCTCCCTCTCCCTCTTGGGCTGGCTCGTCCCATCTCCCTCCCCCTCTCTCCTCTTTCCCGCGGCCCATCCGGCCTCTCCCCGAGCGCGCGCCGCTGACGGGCGGGCCCGCCCGCCACCCTCGCTGACGGGTGGGGCCCACCCGTCATCCCCTTCCTCCCGCCGCTCTCGCCGCCTCCCCCGCACCCTAGCGCCGCCGCCGCCGCGGATTCCGCCGCATCCCGCCGTCCCCGCGTGCAATCAATAGGGGGGAATTATTCCCCGCGATCCCCTCTCCCTTTCCCCCCATTTTTCCCTCTCTCTCTCGCGTTCAAACGGGCGGATTTGCCCCCGCAAATCTCGCCGGCGCCATTGATGGAGCCCGAGATCACCGCGCCGGTTTCCTTCCCCTCCGGCCACTCTCTCCCCTTTCCAACCCTATATAAACCCTCCCCGTGCCTCCCTCACCCGTTTCCGCCCTTGCCGCACCGTCTCCTCGCCGGAATCGAGCTCGCGCCGTCGCTCTCTCTCTCTGCCATCGCCGTCGAGCTCCGGTCCGCCGCCGCCGTCGCCCCGGACCACCTCCCACCTCGGCGCCGCCTCCTTCGGCTTCGCCGCATCCTCGCCGACCTCGTCCACCCCTCTGTTTCGGTCGCCGACCGCCGGAACGCCGTTGACCCCGTCGACCCGAGCCGCGCCGCCGCCTTCCTCCGCTCCGGCCGCCTTTTTCGTCGTCGCCGTCGACCTAGGGTGAGCCGAGGACCGCCGCCTCTTTTCCCCCTTCCCTTCCCCTCTCTCGGCCGCCGCTCCACCGTGCCTATGGCCGCCGCCGGCGACCATAGGGGCGCGGGCGCCGCCTCCCGCCGGCCGCGCCGAGTGGCCGCCGCGTGGGGCCCGGCTGTCAGCCGCCCGCGTCCTCGGGTGTGGCTGACGCGTGGGACCCATGGCACCGGGCGGTGCGAGCCCGGGTGCGCCCGGTCCACCGTGGACCGTGAGGCTGCCGCGTGGGCCCCACTCCCGTGGACTCGGTCCGCGCGCCCCTCCCCCTCGGCTGACGCAATAAACCCTTTTTAAATTAAAATTTAAATGAAGAAATTCGCAAGTATTCATTTAAAGAGCATATAAACTTCAAATGGCCATAACTTGGCCATTTGAACTCGGAATTGGACCATTCAAGTCTCTAATTTTTCCTTAAGAAGTCAAGAACCCATTTTTGTGCTCTGTTTCTGCTTGTTATATGGAGTTTATTAGAGTAAAAGCCTTTTCTTTTCCGTTGGTCGTGTAGACGCTGCAGCTTCGGAAGATCCGCTCTTCGTGGAAGTTGAAGCCGACGTTTGGGAAAGCGAGCAAGGCAAGTCACATCATCCTTGAACATATTGAATCCCAGTTTATAAAATTATTTTGATTTAAATTAATGCATTATCGCTTTATTTAAATTCCCGCGTTATCATTGTTTTATTTAGCCATGCCTATTTATCTTTGTTATGACCTTATTATTATTGTTATTGATATTATTACCTTGTTCACCCTAGATTAAACAAAACCCCAACTAGTGGACACTCTACTCATGGTTCCACTAGTATGAATTTAGGTAGATGCTTCGCTGGTTAATTAGGCAACATTAGGTGGTTTTACAACTTTAGACTTTGGGAATTCTCATATCATTTGGACACTATGGAATGGTTGGCTTATGTTGGAATTGGACACACACCTCCCCCTCTATTCAAAACCCCCAAAATGGTTTTAGGCTGGGCTCGAAGTGCGTGGTTGGGTTTTGTTAGTCGTACCTCGGGTACTATAAGGATTAAGCTCGGGCCTCTGTTGCAAAGCACTACCGTACTTCTACATGTCTAGTGGGTAAGGCTTAGTTTGTGGCTCAGTCTGGTTATAAACAAAAGTACACGGATAGAGATGGATGAAGTCGGGGGTCGATGGACATCTCTAGGACAAATGAAGGCTACACGAGCTGCGGCCCGGTTGTCGAGATGTCATGGCACAGGGCCGGTGTCCTGTTGCTAGGGGCTCAGTCCTGCCTACCTGTCCTGGGGGTTCCAGCCGTAGGTGGGGTTGGGTCGGTATTCTTGTCTATGGCTAGGATGGGTTGGAAACTATGTCACGTCTTTCGTCCGTATACCGTGGTGGTATGTGGCACGTGGTTACACGTGAGGAAGATGTGTCTTGTGGGTAAAGATGTACACCTCCGATCAGAGTATAATCTATTCGAATAGCCGCACTCTCGGTTATGGGCAAGTCGAGCAATGTACCCAAGTTAGAGTTTTAATTCTTAAAACCTGCCTAACAACTAAAATGTGGAATGGTTGGCCTGGGTTGGCTTGGGACGAGCTGGGACCCAGGGTCGGGTTGCCAGTTCGGTCTGAATCATCGTAGGCCTTGGGTTAAGGCAGGTTCGTGTGGGTTCACGGCCTTGTTTAATAATATTGTATAGCTCTAGGATCGTATTTACAAAATAGCTTTGAGCAACTAAGTGTCTTTTAATGCTGTTTACTGCAAACCCTAACCCTTTATATTATAACTCCCTTTTACTCCCTTGCATTTATTCTGCACTTGTGGGTATGTCTTGTTGAGTACGGTGGTTGTACTCAGTCTTGCTCAATTTTTCCCAAACCCAGAAGAGGAGCCCCTGGATGATGAAGGCTTTGGTGTCTAGCTCGTGCCTGCCGTCAAGCGCCTGTGGTCGTCGCCCTAGTCTTCCGCTGTTTCCCGTTTGTCTTTGAGTGTGCTGGGCCTTCGCCGCCCATGTAATAAATTATCTATTTACGCTTCCACTTGTTAAACTCTGAACTGTATCAACTTTTGGTGTACCTTGCCTCCTGGGACAAGGAATAATGCACGCACGTAAGGAACGCCCGTTGTGTTATTTTCGGTCGTGACAAGGACAGATATCAAATAATATGGCACAAGCAAGCATATACGTGAACCCTATTCCCATGTAATTAGCAAAACGATGCATATTTATTTGCAAACGGAAAACATTTGTAAGGTAGGGTCAAAATGCTCAAGGGGAATGTGTGACTTGCCTTGCTTCTTCAAACAATCTTCCGAACTCTTTTCCTCGCGACCGCAGACTTCCGAAACGAGGGATTCTACATGCTGGTACGCAAAACGAGGAAAAACTCAAATAAACACCAAGAAAACAGTACATAAAAAGTAAACTAACATGTAGAGCTCAATTTTAGATGAATTTTGCAACTTGAATGGCTCAATTTGGAGTTTGGATGAATTAGATATGAATTTTAGAAGCTTTGAGCCATTTAAATGAATTTCTAGAATTAATATCGAATTATTGCGCAATTATTATTTATTTTTACAAAGAAAAGGGGATTGCTGACATCAGCAAGGGGTGAGGCGCGGACCGCGTCCACAAAGGGGTGGGCCCCACACGTCAGCGACACAAGGAGGTACCGGCCCATCGTGGACCGAGTCCATGGCGGCGACCGGCCACGCGGGCACACAAGGCCGGCGGCGGCGGCGACCGGGAACAAAGCGGCGGCGGCACACGGGCCGGGCGGCCACCGGCGGCGGCGGCGCGACGCGCGCAAGCACGGGAGGCGGCCGGCGAAGGGGAGAAGGAGGAGGGAGGCGGCTCACCGAGAGCCGCGGCGACAGAGGGAGCGGCCGGCGAAGGGAGGCGGCGACGCTCCTCGGGTCGACAACACGGAGGGGCTCCCGGCAATGGAAGGTGTCGACCGAGCGGCGGCCGAGAAAGAGCGTGACGCGGCGAGGGAGGCGATGCAGCCGGCGCGTCGCGGCGGCAGCCGGGGCGATGGCGAACGGCGACCGGAGGAGGAAAAAGGTGGCCGGTAGGGTGGTGTGGTGGGGAGGTGGTTCTGGTGGTGGAGGGAAAAAAGGGATGGGCGGCCGGGCTTGCCCTCGCGGTGGTGGAGCTAACAGAGGCGGCGGTGTGGTGTGAGGTGGCCGGGAATGGCGGCAATTAGCGATCGGAGGCGGCCAATGGTGGTGGGAGTGACGGTGGCGGCTAGCTGGAGGGCGCCGACGGGCGGCGGAGATCGGGCGCGCGGTGCGGCGGTGTTTTAGAGGCGGAGAGGGGAAAAGAAGTAGGGGCCGGGGTGTGGCGTGGAGCGGCGACGACGGTGGTGGCGACGGCGCAGCGCGGCGACGGCGAGAGCGGCGGCTAGAGGCGGCCGGAGCTCGCCAGCGACGGCGGGGAGAGGGAGCGACGATGGCAGGGTGGTTTTTGGGCATGGGAAGGCTCGGGAGGGAGGGAAAAATGGAGAGGGAGGTGCCGGGAGTGTTTATATAGGCTCGGGAGGGTGAGAGAGAGCCGGGGCAAGGAGGATTGGGGCGACAACCGCCGGTGAAATGGGGGCGCCGACGTGGGGAGGTTGGCGGTGGTTCGGCGCTGATTTTGCGGGGAGGAGTGGGGGAAATGGGGGAGGAGGAGGTGGGGATCGAGTCCACGCTCTCGCGGGGCGGGGTGGAGTGCGGGAGGCGCGGCGTCGTGGGGTGAAACCGGCGGCCATGGCGGTTGCAGCCGGTCGGATGGAGGTAGGGGGAGAAGCTGACGAGTGGGCCCCGCGGTCCCACTTGTCGACGAGAGGAGGGGGAGGAGGCCGAGGGGGCAAAAGCAGACTTTTGTGAGGGAGTGGGGAAACGGGCCGACAGCCCAAGAGAGGAGAACGAGGCCGGCCTGGGAAGGAGGGGAAAGGAGGAAGGAAGGGGATTGGGCCAAGCCCAAACGGAGAAGGGGAGGGATTAATTTGTTTTTCTTTTTATTTAATTGATTAAATGAATTTTGTGACTTTTAAAATTATTTCTCGAGCTCCGAAAATTCGCGGGAAATTTTAGAGTGTTTTTTTTAGGGCACAAAGAATATTACAAAACATTCCCGGCCAATGATTTTTAAAATAAATTTTAAATTCCCTCAATAATTCACTTGATTAAATTGCTTTAACTTTTATTTAATTTCTAGAAAATGCATTATTTAATGATATTTAATCCCGAACGAAAATCGGGGCGTTACAAATATGATCAATTGTAATGTATGACTTGCCTTGCTCTTGCACTGATCAGACCACACCAACGTCTTCGAGAAACCGCGGATCGACGAAACGGCCGAAATCTACGCGACAAACAAAGCATACAAGGAAAACACACTATAAGTCTACTGAAACAGGAAACAAAACCATTTTTAATGGATTCTATACATTTTTCTTGATTTACTGAGACTTGAATGGACTTAAACGGAGCTCGGATGAATTACTTATGAATTTTAGAAATAAACTGTTTTTATTACTATAAAAGAAAAGCCTTAATGAGTTTTATTGCGCAATAAAGGATCCCGGATGACGTCAGCAAAGGGGGGGCGGCGCCGACATGCGGGACCAGCCCGACAGTGGCTCAAGGGGGAGGAGGTGGCACCGGCTGGTGGGTGGGCCCCACCGGGCAGTGGCTCAGGGGGGGGAGACGCCCGGTTGGCTCAGCTCAGCTCGGCTTCAAACTGGCCGGCCGGTTAGGCGATGCGGCTGCGGCGAGCGGCCACCGACGGCGGCGACCGGCGGCGCGGGAGACAGCGGTGGCACACTGCCGAAGCGGCGGCGCGGACAGGAGGCGGCGAAGCGCCCAAAGACGGCGGCGCACACGGGGAAGGGGGAGTAAAAGAGGGGGGAGGGAGTCCTCACCAGGGATTCGACCGGCATGGGTGAAGACGACGGCGGACAGCGGCGGCAAGCGGCGGACGGCGGGGCGCGCGGAATGGACGAAACGGGCCTCGATCTCACGAGGCCAACGGCGGCAACGGAGCAGATTTATCTAATTTTCTTCATTTATCTAGCAGTAGTGTGTACAGTCTATTTTTAGGCTATCGTTTTATTTCAGAAAGCAGAGCATTGCAATACCAGAAATGAGGCTTATTCCTTTTGTACATCTAGAGCTTCTCATATGTTGTAAAAGAGTTGAACTAGCTCAGATTATAAATAGTATAATACAAGTTCTTGATAGATTACTAACCATCAATATCCAAATCCTTTGTTTGGGCATTCACAAGCTTCCACCATCCATGGAATCCTCCAGGTCCAGGTTCTGTAGATAAAGATGAATACATGATAGAGACATTGAAACTTCATATTCCAATTTTACAGAAAGCTAGCAAGTAGGGCAACAAACCCATATAGGCATTGTGCAATACTGGATAAATAGAAAGACAAAAAGCTGGAAGAGATCTTGCAAGCAATCAAGCAAATAGACATCTTTCTCTTTCAGAAAATTAAATAGACAGATGATAAGAAGAGCACGAGAAATTTACTGACCACAAAATTATCACTATAGCTGATTTCATTTAGATTTACTGAGCTCACTGTTGCTGCCGGTGGAGTGTCCTCCGGAGCACCTCGCCGGTTGGCCACCAAGCAGGTAGCCGTCGCCCGCCGGTGCCTCCGTCGGCCGCCGAAAGAAGGAACTGCATAGAAGAGGAACCAAAGAATCAAGAACCAAAGAAAAGAATAAGAAAATCAAGAACCAAAGAATCCGTTGCTTGTTGCTATCATGTGAACCACACTACCAGTCTTGGGGGGAGTTGGAGACGTGAGGAGGACTGAAGAAGCACACCTAGCCACCGCTGCCTCAACCCGTGGTGGATCACACCGCGAAGTCGAAGCCGCCACTGCCGCCGCCTCCGCCTCCGCCGGGAGCCGCTGCCGCCACCTCGATCCACGGGGAAGCTGCGCCGCCACCGCTGCCGCCTCTGCCGGGAGCCACTGCCGCCGGCTCGATCCGCGGTGGAGCCGCACCGCCTCAGGCCGGGAGCCCTAAAGCCGCCGACGCCATGCGAACGCGAGCAAGCGGAGCGCTCGAACAAGGCCGACCCGAAAACCCCTAGGATCAACTGACTCATGGACCCATTGTTACCTAAGAAAATATGGACCGGCCCGAAAACCTATTGGTGCCACAAATTTAGGTTCGGGCCACGGACCTAACGGGTCGACCCGCCCCACTTGCAGGCTGAATTACCGACTCAGAGACTATCGCCACCGGTCGCCACGCGTGGCATGACTTACCTCCGCGCCTCAACTCCCATATGACACTACCCAGCCTCAGCTGTGTCGTGTACGGTGTGACACCGGTATGGCTCCCGTGGCATAAGATGGCCATGCGTGCGGACCGAGGCTCGCCTCAGCACATGGTCTCCACCGCGGGCCGTCGAGGAGAATCTTAACCTAATAGGCGCACAACGGCACAAGCGACATCAATTGAGCGCTCACGTGCGCGCTGCCGCCGTCGTGCGGTCATCACCGCCCATATCACTGGAGAAGCAGGTGTTAGGTGTCACCAGGTATCAGTTTTGGCTCATTTGCAACCGACGCCCGCGGCCGTCTACTCGGACTGCATTAGCTTCATGGGCCGAGCATGTGGACAACAGCTTTTCTGACCGTATAATTTTGGAATAAGTTCATCTAGGTCCCTTAATTTTACACAGAATCCGATTTACGTCCTTGAACCCCAAAACCAGATACAACTGGTCCCTGAACTGTCAAAACCGGTGCAAATGAGGTCCCTCGGTGGTTTGGAAGGCGGTTTTGGCTGACGTGGCGTCTACGTGACTAGGTCTCCATCCCACGTGGCATTGACGTGGCGCTTACGTGGCAACTATATCTCGGAAAAATAATAAAAAACGGTGGGTCCACATGTCAGCTACCAAAAAAAATTAAATTAAAAATGGTGGGACCCACGTGGGCCCACATGTCAGCGAAACAAAAAAAAATAAATATGGAGGGGCCCACGTGGGCCCCACATGTCATTCCCTCTCGGCTCTCCCTCTTCTTCCCTCCGCCGACCCCGACCTCTTCTTCGCCATCCTCGGCGGCGTCGGCCAGTTCGGCGTCATCACCCGCGGCCGCGCCCGCATCCCTCTCTCTCCCTGCGCCCCGACCTCAGAAAAGTAAGAGAGAGCGAGAGCCGCTGAGGTCCATCGAGGTCACCTCGCCCGGCCCGCGCCCCTGCCACGGCGGCCGCCGCCACCAGTCCACCACCGTCGCGCAGCCCCACGCAGAACCCTGTCGCGCTGTTGCAGCTCTGCGTCGACCGCAGGTGCCTCATCTTCCCGTTCCTCCACACCGACTACGTCCCGGGCTCCCTCCGCCGCTTCATCACCGGCGCCGCGGACTGCTTCGTCGGCCTTGGCGTGGACAAGGAGGCCGAGCGGCTGAGCGACGACCACGGCCTCCCCGTGGGGAACACCGCCGACCTTCGCCCCCTCGCGGCGTAGAGGCTGGGCCGCCCGGAGTTCAGACAGGCCTACCTAGATTAGATTTAGTTGCTGTTGCATTTCGCTCCTGCTGTCTCGTAATGTTAGGCTACCTAGATTCAGTTGTTGTTGTATTTTTCTCTTGCTCTCTCGTGATGTTAGGCAAGGATTTATGAGATTTAAGGTGCTATGGGTTTATGCTTAGTACTGAAGAAATTGAAGAATCGGATGAAAAAGAACGTGCAGATCTTCTGATCTAGACTATGGTTAATGAAATTTCCAGTGCTGATCCTTTATGCGTTTTTAGTGCTGTTTTAATATCTGTTTTAGATGATACTGTTTGCAGATCGTGTCATCAACTGGAAATGGCTCGTTTGCTCAAATTGTTCTGCGGCTCCTTGCACGGCGGTCGGACGCGGTCGGAGGAGATGCTCCCACTACTCGCCGCACGTGGTCGGAGGAGATGCTCCCAGTAAGAAGAGCTGGCGACCTCCTCCTCTGCCTCCTCCTCCTCCGGCCACCTTCGCCGCCCACGGCCTGCTGTCGTCGCCGCTCCGCCTACCCCTCCGCTCCGCCCTGCCGCTCCACCCGCGGCCTGCCGCCGCGCCGCTTAGCCAGCATGCTTCGGCCGCCGCCGTCGTCGGAGGCAGCGGGGACTGAGACGACGACGGTTGTGAGACGGCGCCGCGGCGCGAGAAGCGCCCGAAGACGACGCGTTAAGGAAGAAGGGGAATAGCCGAGAGGGAATGACATGTGGGGCCCACGTGGGCCCCACCATATTTTTTTTTTTGTCATTGACATGTGGGCCCACGTGGGTCCCACCATTTTTAAATTATTTTTTGTGTGTAGCTGACACGTGGACCCATGGTTATTTATTATTTTTCTGAGATATAATTGCCACGTAAGCGCCACGTCATTGCCACGTGGGATGGAGACCTAGTCAAACTAGCCACGTAGGAGCCACGTCAGCCAAAACCGCCTTCCAAACCGCCGAGGGACCTCATTTATACTGGTTTTGACAGTTCGGGAACCAGTTGTATCTGGTTTTGACGTTCAAGGACGAAAATCGGATTCGGTGTAAAATTAAGGGACCTCAGATGAACTTATTCCTATAATTTTTGTGCCTGGGTTGGGCCGTAAGAAAGGCTGCGCCTATGATGAAGTTTTGAGCCGCAAGCTAATCAATCATCAATGCTATAGGTGAAGAAAGGAAAAAGTATACTTCGACTCTCTAAACTATCACCCGAGTATGATTTATATCCTCCAACCACAAACCAGATATATCAACTCCTTCAACTATTAAAACCGGTGTAAATAATGTCTGTCAGTGGTTTTAGAGGTGGTTTTGGCTGACGTGGCGCCTACATGACATTCTTAACCGAGTCTTTGTCCTATGTGGCACTTACGTGGTATTAGAATAAAAATAAAAATAAAAAAATACGTGGGACCCATACGTCATTAAAAAAAAGTATTGTGGGACCCACGTGTCATCCTCCCTCTCCCTTCCTCCTCTCCTCTCTATCCCTTATCTCTCGGGAGCGGCGGTGACGGTGGGAGCGCCGGCCGTGGCCTCGTGAGTACACTCGGCGGCACGACGAAGTTGCTGATATGGAGCACGAAGATGTTGTACGGCACCGCGGCGACCACCCTCTTGAGCGTGGCGTTCACCAGCGCGGAGAGCGCGGCGGAGGTGAAGACGGCGCCACCCTTGGCCGTCGGGGTGATGGCAAGAAACCTGGTGCGGCGGCACACGTTCCCGGTGGTCTGGAACAGGGTTGTCGACACGGTGGGCCTCCCCCGCGGCAGCGCGGCGATCTTCGCGGCGTCGATGTAGTCGAGCACGACGTGGACGGAGAGGAGCTCGACGAGCGCCGCCCGCGGCAGCCTGGCGGCTGCGGCGGAGGAGTCAGTCCACGGCGGAGTTGTCCACCAGCACGGTCACCGTGTTGCGGCTGTTGATGTCGCGGTCGACGTGCGTCTTGCTGATCAGGTAGCTGAACACAGGCCGAACTCTGGGAACCGCCCGAGGATCTCCGTCACGTTGAACGCGCCGCGGCGTCATCGCCGGAAGCCGGGAGGACGAGGCCGAGGAGCAGGAGAAATGAGAGCCTGGCCGCCATGTGTTCGCGTGAACAGGAGGCAGATATGCGGTGGAATTTTTTTTTAATGACATATGGGTCCCACAGTTTTTTTTATTTTTGTTTTTTATTCTAATGCGCCACGTAGGACAAAAGCTCGGTCAAGAACGCCACGTAGGGGTTACGTCAGCCAAAACCACCGAAGGACATTGTTTGCATCGGTTTTGACAGTTAGAGGAGTTGATATATCCGGTTGTGTGGTTGAAAGATATGAATCATACTCGGGCTATTGTCGAGAGAGTCAAAGTATACTTTTTCCGGTGAAGAAATGCGGATGTGCTAAGCTAATTAACGGGCCAAATTAAATTTTCTATTATTTTCTTGGCCTATTTAAATATTTTATCAATTACATAATGAGTTGTTGCACCTTTGGATGATTTAAAATTTGGGAGAAAAACAAGATAAAAAATTATCATGCATATTATATTATTTCTTGCTTAACGGAACCGGATTTATTTTGACCAATATTGATTATAGGCCCCCATCGATTGGCTTATTCTGACGACATATTTGCAAACGAGAAATATAATTTATAAATAAAACTTTTATATTAGTGTTCTTAGCGATCTAAAAGCTAACGCTAAAAAATAAACTTCGATAAGAAAACCTCAAAATCAACTCCAAATTTAAGGTTAAAAAATCAAAATTTAGCTGAGAAACATAAGAACAAGAGCATGTACAATAACAGACTATAAGCCAACTATAAACAAATATCAAGAAGATAAAAAGGGAGAGATAAAAGTAGCAAGCTATATATTTGAGCTAGCTGCAGCACAGACTTCAAATATAATGTGTGTGTGACATGTGGGAACATGTATTAATACTATAGTATATGTTTATAGATAACTATTGTATGAATTTACTATTAAATTGGCTACGAATGATTTGGAGTTAATAGTTGACTATACTATTAAACTCGCTCTAAGCAAAATGATGAGGCTGATAGATGTAAATCTCTTATGCTTAATTTTCCCGAGTCATTTCTAGCCAAATAGAACCAACCGGAAATATGGTTTGAAATTTCTCAGTTATGTGGAATTATTAATTTCATGTCAGTAATAATGTTATTTATTCCGATTTATTATTCTCCATGATTATTTCCTTTACCATCGTATGTCTAATTTTGGTATTATTAAGGATTTTCATTCATATAATTATGGTTTTAGTTTCTTCATCTAATTTTGTCCAATGCTGAATTGGCGAGGAGGATAGCGAGCTGAGGGCTGCTCCATGATTCAGGGCGACCGAGCTGGCGCCATTGATGCCGATGGGAAGGTGATGCGATGCGGGAGAGAGCGACACATATGGACAGTCCGTACTCCGTAGGCCGGGGGAGGGACTGGGAGGGGGAAAAGGGGCCCCTTAGGTGAAGGAAGGAAGAAGTGGGAGTTGGGCTGAGAGAAGAGAAAAGGCGGCCTAGCCTGGCCTAGGAAGAAACGGCCCAATTGAATGGTAAAATCTGTTATTTTCCTTGGATTTTCAGAGTTGGGTTATGGACGAATTTCAATGGATTTTGAATATGGATTTGAGTTCAAATGTGATGTTTGGCCTGATAGAGTGACAGAGAATAAAAGGAAGGTTTCAAAATGTATGTTTGAACAATTTTGAATTAGAAGTTGATATTTGAGGAGATTTCGTGAGGAAGGGAAAGAGATGGATATTTGATTCAAACTTGATATTTTA